GGGGGGGGGGGGGGGGGGGGGGGGGGGGAGATGCCATTTCGTTTTGTGTCACTGTCAATTCTTGTGTGTGCGGGCTCATGGAAAGGGTTGCTCCTGTATGTGACTCAGTAGAGGAGTCTCAGACTTGATTTTGATCAAGTAATAACTTCAATTTTAGGGTATATGTCGGGTATTTTCACAGTACGAATTTGCAAGAAAATACGCCCTGATTGCTGTAGACGAAGAATCGAAGAGTAAAGAGGAACAGGCTATCAGTTTGCTACAAACACTTTGGAATGTGGTATGCTACGTTTGTACCTTGATTTGGCCGCTGTATTCAAATCCTGGTCACTTACTGCGTCTTTGGGTGCAACAATTGGAAATTGTACCAAATTGTCTGGGTTATTCTGGAGAATTGTACAAAACCTCGATGCTGTCGTAGTGCTGCCACTTCTCCGTGCAGCCGTGAGGGACTGCTTCTTGTGGTTTATTTGTCTCTGCCATTTCCAAAATGTACTCTTTCCATCTTTCCCAAGGGCGCCTGAATGAATCCTTTTTTTTCTCAAGGTGCAATCCATTAGTAATAATAAGTAATGCCGTAAAAACTCAACTTTCTCATGCGAAAGCGGTATAACTTTGGGACTGATATTAATGACAACAAAACAACATTCAACGATGTTCCGGATAAAATGCTAGGTTAGCTTGGATATGCCTAGTAAGATCGCGCTTGTTCCTCTGGTAATGCGTGCAGTTTTAATATTTTATTTGCTAGAAATCTTATTCCTTGATTTATTTGTTTATTTGGCCGTTTGTATGCAATATAATTTTCGACAGTTCTTAGATCACTCATTTACTGCATTAATTTACAAATCAAGAACCATTCTCTTGTACTGTAATGTCCTCGCTGTAGAGATACCGCGTCAGAGTGCAGAAACATTTACAGTTAGCAGCAGTGAATCATGAATATGTGATTCATTAGACAGAAAGATGATAGTGCACCCTCACAAGACAGTCTCTGGAAGCATCTCAGATTTGTCGGAAATCTGTCGAACTGGCTAAGCAATTTTTTCTGCTCATATAGTCGCCAGATCAGCACTGCACGGCCTCAACAGCACGAGTACATCCTATAGGGGTTTAATAGATCTAAATGTAAACTCTCAAGGAGGAGAACTTGGTTAGCACATATGCTATGAAATGTAACAGAGTAGGGACATAGCAGGACTGCCATAAGAGGTAGAGATGGACGTCATGAGTCCATGAGTCCTTGGACTAGACATCGTGAGTATTGATTGACAGTAAGGAAGTCAGTCGACCGTATGACCTTTGAAGAGACAGTGCAGGTAAGAAAGACAGTAGTCCCCAGGAGAATGCTTTGCTATAGCTGTAACTGAGCATTTGGCTGGATTTCAGTAACACAAAATACTGTGCGATGGTTCTCCGAATCATTTTGGTAATACGGTAGTTTTATGCCTAATTATTCGGCTGAACCAATTATTAACGCTTAATCAGCATTTTTCTTATTTTTCCACTTTTTAATACTCAGATGTGAAAGGCTGGTTTTGAATGGTACATGAAATGCTTCATTATTTCCGTTTGGCCATTCATTTTCTGGAAAACAAAAATACTTGCAGTTGCTGAATGCAACTCATCCTGGACAAATGCCCATTCATCAACTGGTATTTTAAGAGGAAATTTAACTCTTCGAAATTATTGCAGTGCTGCCTTTTTTTTTTTCTCTGAGATGCTCAATTCGAACACTGAGTCAGGATACAGGAGTGACAGGCTGCAAATTCTCAGCACTTTGAGCTTTTATTGTTTAGCTATACATCTTAAAAGCAAAAACCGCACCGCGAGTTGGGGATAATTAGGAAGTGACGAATAGTTTAGGTCTTGAATGCGGGAGTGGCAGACAAGGAGTGGCGCATCCGGTTGCTGGGAGAAAGTATGTGCTACACAGGAAAATTCAAAATGTTAGCTACACTCACAATTAGTGGCATGACTAGTGTTCGAATCGAGTGCTTTCGGAGTTCTTTCGGTAGGAGGTAGGCTTTTGGCAAGCGCCTTTTTTATCACGTTAATTCTGCCAGGGATTTTGAAAAACAGCAATGACCAAATGCCGTATTAGGATAACGCTGATTTTAGAAATGACCAAAAATTTAGTGTACGCTTTCTTTCCTTTTCTCCGTTCTTGGCTATGCTAGTGCCTGCGTCAACTTCGGCTAAAATTTACGTATAACCAGCCTCTATTTTATATTGCTATTATTTTTGGTTTTTATCAACTTCTTTTGCTTATTTTGAAACTCAGTTTATCTTTAACTATTCTTCTACTTCGTTTTCCGATCTCTCAGAGGTGAATGAGTACCAACAGATAACTTAATTTCAGCCTACTCCATCACTCACTAAGGTTTACTAATAGCACGCTGCTTTGAAAAAATTCATATTATGTTGCTGCTTACACGCGTATTTGTAATTTTAAATTAAAGGGACTTTTTTTACTAAGGTAGAAGAGAGGGGGTGACAGAACTGTCGTCCTTCCTTTGCTTTTGTCAGAAAAATCCCTTGAATTTAAAAATTACAAATCTTCCTTTTCCAGCAGCACGGCACTCAGTCCCTTGATGACAGTGAAGTGGAATGGAGATGCGTTAACGGTATTCGTTTGCTAACTGTTCTTTGGATTTTGAACTGTTTTGAGCAAATAGAAAGAGGCGAACTCCAACAAGCCTGCTTGGATTTTTACTCAAGATTGTTCGGGGAAATGAATCCTCGACAAATTACTGAAAAAGTTTATGAAACACATTTAAGCGAAGTGAGTCTTTTTTGGATTCTGCTGTAATTTAGAGTTTGCTTTATTCTTTAAATATGTGCTTTGCTTATGCAAATAAAATATGCTAGTGGAAGGGCACGGGTTTTGTGGGAACATGTTTTAGTTTGCAGAAAAGGGGAGGGGAAATTCAAATAAATGAATAATCAACGCACCAAAAATTATTCCTTAGTAATTTCTGTCTGGATTGAGATATTCTAGCCAAACGATTTAGTAGCGTTTAGAATTTTCCGAATTTTATCCGTTTCTTCCTTTAACTACTAAGATTTGGCATGGCTTCTAGTGAAGCTCTTGCTAACTTTTTTACTTACAATTTTAACATACCAAGTCTTCTGGGGATATTTTCATGTATATCTAAGTCACGAGTGAAAAGTGTTGCTTGTAGGATCACATTGTGCTCTTTGTGGACTGTTTAAACGTTCAGCTGGAAGTATGGGAATGCAGTTGCAGCGGCGATTTAAATACGAGGCCTGTTAAGGTGCCAACCTTAACTGCGGAAGAAAATTTGCCTGGCCGACCTCATTTGCCATTTGTGAAATTTAATCACGGAAATTTTTTTTATCCATTGTACATTTGTCAGAAATAAATCGGAAGACTGGAAAAAACAGACAGAATTTTCAAAAATTTGGAAAAGCAGACAGAATTATCACGAATTTTAGGGCTTTTCAGAATTCATGTGGTCTTTTTTGTTTCGTGGGATTGTCTTGTGTAGAAGTAACAAAGTGATCCATTGGCGCCATTAGTGTTAGCTGTGTTATCTTCTGCTGTATTTGATTCTTTTTCGATTCGGAGCTCTTGCTATTCTTCGGTGCTGTCGAGTTTTTGTCTTCATCCATCGGTGTGACAAAGAGGAATTAGTGCGATGCGTTCAGTATTATAAACGGATTCATAATTCCGAAGATTGGTTGGAGGAAGAATTTGAACAGCAGTTACGGAGACCACCCGGAGGAAGTTTGCCCACTATAATTAATTGTCGGTTGTGTGCTGTACATTGTTGTGTTTTGAATAAATCATTTTGAATTTGTCGAGTGAACTTAGCAGACTGATAGTATCAACACAGAGATCCCGCAGAGCTCACAGGATCCTCAATGCATTATCAATAGAGGGGGAGCAAACGCGTTTGCGCTGGTTCATCTCTTCCTGGCTTATCAATTTTACAAATATTATTTTCTGCCGGCACGGGGTATACGTCTCAAACAGCAGCACTGGGGTACGAGGCTGGGGAGGGTAGTCAGGTCAATCATGATTCAGCATTTTTTCTTTTAGAAAATCAATGAGTTTTTCATATGTACAAAAACCAGTTGCATGGTGCGTGAATTTTTTATTATTGAAATTGTTATTAGAAATTTCCCGCATGTTTTATTTTTCGAAAATTTAAGGTATGCATCTCCTCTAGAAAAGCCCTGCCATGTTAAAGGGAACTGAAACAAAATTTTTGAAAGTGGTTTTTCGAAATCTTGTCGACTTTATTTTTTCTACTATTTGAATGAAAGGTCATAAAGAAGTATCACACTTGTTTGAGGAGGAAAAGTTTAATTTCTAGGATTACATAATCAACTCCATTATCCATTCAGCAATTACGCATCGTTGCTCCTAGTAAAGTTTCGTTTTTTTATCAGAAATTTGCATCCGCTTCCCTGGATTTCCTCACGTTAATGTAACATTTCATCCAGCTTTGCTCATAAACGCCCAGTGACCTATTCTAGAAATTAAAATTTTTTAATTCGCATTAAACAAGCGAGAAGAGGCTCCAAGAAAATCCGGATGAGAAAGCAAAAAATTCGGATTTTATTTGAGTCAATTTTTAGGACTCTGCAAATCTCAAAAATTTTGTTAAAACATTAAAGTCGTTCACTTAACAGATTTCCATGAAAAGAAAGGGTTGGCAAACACGGAAAATTAGGAGAGATGACAGTGGTTAAAATACCACGCCTGTGCTTTTTTCAGTGAAACATTTTGACATATTTTGCACTTTACAGTTAATTAAATTATGGGTGATTTCTAGTTTTCGGGAAAAATATGATTAATAAATAAGTAGAGCATTTCACACAGAGTGTTCGTTTTCATGCGTTTTTTGCAGCTATACAATGCAAAAACGCATATTGACGAGGGGTTATCTGTGTGTCCGTGTGTCTGTGTGTGCGTCTGCCACGCACTTTCGTCTCAAGACCTATAAAAGCTGCGAGGCTGAAATTTCGGAAACTTGATCTACACGCACGTGCCGGCCCTAATCTCCAAAATGGGCACCAACACCCGCGTGGTACCCGCGTACGGGCCCGCCAAAAATTTTTTTAGGTATTTTCATAACTCGGGGACCTGAGAGGCTGGAACGCTGAAATCTTAGGGTAATGTTCCTCGTCCAACTAGGTATTAATGCACTCAAATCCATCCCCCGGTTAAGCATGGTACCCGCGTACGGGCCCGCCAAAATTTTTTTCGAATAAGCTCATAACCCGGGGGTCTGAGAAGCTAGAACGCTGAAATCTTTAGGGGATATTCTCCGTTCAACTAGGTGTTAATGCACTCATACCCATCCTCCGGATAAGCGTGGTACCCCGTACGGGCCCGCCAAAATTTTTTTCGAATAAGCTCATAACTCGGGGATCTGAGAAGCTAGAACGCTGAAATCTTAGGGCAATGTTCCCCGTCCATGTAGGTATTAACGAGTTCAAACCCTGCCCGCGGGTAAGCGTGGTACCTACGTACGGGCCCTTGAAAGTTTCTTCCGGGAAAGTTGCTAACTCGAGAAAGTGAGAAGCTAGAAGACTGGGATTTTGAAGGGATGTTTCCTGACGGTCCTGGCAGCCAGTCTGAAATTCTTTTAGCTAGAAGCATCTGCCAGGAAAACCAGTGCCGTTAGCGACAAAAAT